TAAAGGGTTGGAAGAGATAGTGTTAGAGACGTTGATGTTGAAGCCAGTTTGAAGACGCACATCGTTGCTGTCAATTTCTGTTGACGAGGTCCCTCAGTCCACAATCGCTTTAAAAATAATAATAATAATTTATTCAACTCAGGCAGAAATGTAGATTACATAAAAAACAAAATAACATAAGTAATTATATGAACTGAGCTGATTACCCTTCTCTTTAAGCATGCTTGTGATGAGAGGGGGAGACTTCAGGTATTAGTTACACACATAATATACCATTAACAAGATTTTTAAAATTTATGAAAGTGAAAAAATATTATTAGAGTATAGACGTATAGTGAAGAAAAATAAAAAAAAACAGTATACCTAGTACCTACTTAAATAATAATAATAATTAACATTGACAGAAAGTATCGTAAGTTAATGGCACAAGTGATCTCCGGGAAAATCGTCCGATAGCTGTCTAATGCAACGATGTCAAGAGTTTGCAAGCGCAAATGCGATGCAAATTGGTGCCCAACATGGCATTCGAAACAAATTTCATGGGCGATGCACCAGAAGCGATTCCGTCCGTCGCTTCCACGGAAATGTAAGTTTTGACGGATTCACCGTCGGCCGAATGGACTAACGGCGAATTTATGACACCTGCCGCTGTTGGAGCTAGCGATATCGAGTCGCTGTTACCCGTCTCGTTTGCCACCTGTTCAGCCCGTCGATTCCGACACCCAGCAGTTGAGTTCGATACCGAACGCGGAAACGCAGTCAATCTTTGATGCTGTGTAAGAAAATGGATCGAAAAAACCGCTTGACCACGAGGCGACTGGTGGTTTACAGGACATGGTTACCCTAGGCGGACTTGGAGATGCTGCAGCAACGGCCACGACACTATAACCACGGTTCGACCTAGACGTCACACACTGTGGAGTCGGGCGAAGAGATTCGTAGGGCGAATGTTTTGTGTTCCTGACATTGACCGCCAAGTATAGATTATGTAACGTTTTGTGAGTGGTGCTTTTAAACATCGCTGCAGTCTTTTCCACCTGCCCTCTCGCCTTTATAGCGCCTGTGTAATACACTACCGTGCTCTTTTGTCCCGAGTTCACTCTTTTGTGTCCGGCTGGACGCCGTTTTGTTGGCCGGACACTTTGAAAAAATCCGTTTAGGCTAGCCTTTTTTTGGCGTTCGGCCGTCAGACATTTTTTTTCTCCTTGTTTTCAGCCATTTCGTGCCATTTCGTGCTGCCTTCGGCTCTTCACAGTGTTTTGCACCACGTCGTGATCGTGATACACTTCGCGATATCACCCTGTTTGTGCCTATTATATCCGTTGTGGAAATAGTCAATGATCTGCGGTAGCAGTTAGGTTAGGTTAGGTTATTTCCTTCTAATCGCTTAAGATGAGCTGAGCTACTGTGGTTCGAATTCTAACCCTGAACCAAAAGAAATGTTTATGTAAAAAGAGGATACCTATAAATTATAAATATGGCTATATTACCGTAATCTTGTGTACATTTAGTATTTACACTAATAAACGTTATTAGTGTACCTATATATGTAATTTATTTAGTTTTTATCTGATATTATTGAGTTTAAGCTTCTTAGAGTTCTGTACGGTAAAACGGGACCCTATGACTAAGGCTCCTCTGTCCGTCCGTCTGTCACCAGGCGTTATATCATGAACCACGAAAGTTAGAAAGTAATTGGAATTAAACTTTTAAAATAAAGTAGTAAAAATTCTAGAATATAATATAATAAAAGCAGTGTTGCCAACATGTTTATAGCTGATGATGATATGGAACCCTTCTTGCGCCAGTCCGACACTTGGCTGGTTTTTATTTATCAAAAAGGTACATCGAAAAATCCAAAAACGCTGAGATTTCACGAGAAGAACGATGTGCAATAAAGCTCTCCGTGGATTTGAATTTTTCCAATTTGCTTAGTAATTTTATATTTTTATCTAGAATGTTCTATTTTAGAATATTTTTTTTATTTTTTTTTTTAAAATTTTTTATTGTAAATATAAATAAGATGTTTGACATATTATTAAAATGTTTACAATAAAGTATCTACCTCCTTTAAGCATAATGCTTGTGTTGGTGGTAGAGAGTTACATATAATTAAAAATATAGAATATAGTTTTGCCATTAGAATCCTTGCTCATTGGCACTCATTCAGATTGTTTTGTTATTACTTATAAGTATTATGTATATTCTATAATAATATTAGCTAACAAATAATATTATGCTGTATATTATTATATATATGTCATATATATTATATTATTGAACAGATCCCACTAAAAGGCGAAATATATACTAATTCATGTGACAATTGGATATTAAATATTAATTTTAACGTAAGACACTAATTATTTCATAAACTTTTAATGTATTTTAAAACAACATTTATAAGTTCTAGGAACTACCAGTTCCGAATTAGGTAATAAGCTTCTTGTCCAAAATTGGATTTTTATTGATCGAATACTCATAATAATTCAATAATATTAGAGAATATGAAATTAAAAATTCATCTTGTAATAATTTATATAAAAGAGTAAGCAACTTAAAACTGATAACGATAAAAAATTAAAAAATCCAAAAATTTTGTTTTGAAATGAATTAAAATTACGTGAAAGAGATATTTGCAAAAACGTTATTGTTTTCTGTAATAATGAGTGACATCTCATGTGAAATGGATCACTCCGTATACCTACACTCCCTTTTTTTCTTAATTTTTATATTGTTTTCAACGGCGCTTTTGAAATCTATTGGGAATTTTAAATTTTGACCACCCGATTGCACCAACTAGATTCACTTTCCCACCGAACAAGATACTGTTGAAGAAAATCGAAGCAGTTTTACTGCCCCAAACCATGGTGACAGACATAAATAAAAATAAAAAAAACACACATTGTAAAATCAATACATTCATCGCTCCGCTCAGAATCTAAAATAATATAACAACATTATTATAATTTGTGAACAAAATTTGTAAAAACAATTTACAATATTTTGACAAATATAATCGAAGATAGCTTATTTTATAACCACTTAAACAGGTTTTATTTTATATATTTTGTGGATGATCGATATGTATATAAATTAAAAATATTCATATTGAAATTGCATACTTAGAAGTTATAATATGTAAAACGAAATAACTATAGCTAAATCAAATTACCAGTTATAAAAATGTACACATTACACTAAATGAATACGAATAATACAAAAAACGATTCATAGCGTGAGGCACTGAGTCTGCTCTGAGACGCAATATTGATCGGTTATCAAAACTAAATAACTAAAACTAGAACTGACCTCAAAAATAATAAATAGGTACAAAATAACATATCATGTGAAATTGGGAAATAAAAAAATTATTCGGTGTTTCTGGTTTAACCAGGAATGGTTTATTCGGATTTCTTGGAAAAAAAAAATCATTCACATTGTAATTAGGTTTTGGGGGTTTAATTTTTAAGGGTTTTTTATGGGTGTTATCGATACCGGTCAATTAGGGTGCACGGCGCTGGTCTTAAATTTGTAAGTGGTGGCCATTCGAAAACGATTTTATTTTCTGCGTTTTTGAATTTGTTTTACATCCCTTAACGAATATTTTATTTAGGATACTTCACATAATATATTACATTATATATAAACGCGTTACATACGTTATTTGCGAAACGATATATATTTTTATTTATGCGTCATTAAATTGTTTGCCCCAGACATTTATACATTTTATTGCGCATTTTTGTTTTAGGAGATTACTGCCAGGGTCTTTCCCTGCTATATAATATATATTCTCTGCGTACCGCGAACTATTGAAGCAGACAGTACGAATAAAGGTATGTAGGTACCATAATATATTATAGTATTATTAAAATAACAGGCAATTTTTTTTTTCTGCCCGTCTTAACGAAAAAAATACCAGCGAATGAATATCTTTTTTTACCCCGCTCGTGGTTAATTTGCATACACCGCGACCCGGTGGCACTAGTTTATTTTTTGGGGGGTTCGCGATGTGGGAATAGTAACTAAAACTGGTAACAAAATTATGAATCATCTCTCATAAACGGATATAATAATATAATATGTACTTGACTATCGAAAATATTAATTTTCTCAATACATGTAAACGGCTTTGTCCCGACTGACAGAGAATCGACGTACAGCCAAAACTATATGACAGCTATAGAGACTTGACATTTCCATGGCACCTTCGTACCGCAATGTCGGCTTGAGTTGAGAAAGGATTTTTAAAAATTCTCATTTCAAAGAGTGTTTCACTCTGGGATTATGTTTTTGCAAACTGAAATATAATATGTTTTTGCACCTATATTGCGTCGATCCTTGTTTTATATTTGTTAATTTTTCCACCAGCGAAGTCGTGTTATACAGCTATTAAGTAATAAAACTATTAACTTTATGTTTAAATAATTTATACATTTTGTGCTTATTTCATTATCCATCATATTATCATAATGGCTTTCCTAATCGATAAATTAAAACTTGTAGAGTTAGTCGTTATATACATGAAGAAGTCTGGAAAACAATAAATAATTTAAAAAGGTGGGATTGCATGGTAGGCAATCTTCGAATACTTTACGACGAACAGAAAACATTCAATCACAAAAAAAATATAGATTTTTAAGCTGTACCTATAGTACCTACTAGATAATTAATCAATTTTAATACATCCATACTTAATATAAATATTAAATACACAAAGTAATATTAATATTATGTATAACTTTTCATAAATTATAATAAATACACCGAATTTGATTAGTACAACTATATTTTGTATTTATATTGAAACGTTAGAGGTACTTGTGGCTGTCCCGTGTCATTATTCACATTATGGTTTTGTACCCCCTCGTTAATGTATTACCAAAATATATATATCAAACTGACGGCTGTTTACGTCTTGCTGTTGACTTGCGACGCGTTTAGGATATCTGCGACTTCTTGGACGCCGCAACAAAACAAACGGCCGACAAATCGCATTAAAGACCCCAGAAAGTGCGGAGGCGTCCTTTATTCGCTTGCGGCTTGCTGTCCTCTGTCCGAATTTCCGGTTCTGACGGCCACGAATCGTTTCTGGGCGAACACCATGGCCTTCTGACCAGGTTGTCGTCCGGTGCTTCCTCGGCTGGCCGCCCCTGAGAGACCGCGATCCGGTCGACGGCCACTTTATCCGCTGACAACACCAGCGGATGGTTGATCGGGGAGTCGACCATGGCCATCGTGGACCTGAATGCCGGACCGCATAGTTAGGCAACTCTATCTTTCGGTATACACCTGCAGTGTCGGTGCAGGCGGCTTGCCTAACCAGTCCTGCACTCCCAATATTTCTGCGTCGGACACGTAGCTCCGCTGCATCTGCCGATCCGCCGCGATGTCCTTGTCTGTGTCCCGGACTTGAGTCCACTGATGTTGTGCCACAAAACCAGGAGCCGGATCGTGTTCGCCGTTGGGTACCTCCCATTCTCTCGGAAAACGGAACTTCGCTGCTCTAAGCTCCGAAAATACGTTCATCATAGCCTCTCTCTCTGAGGAAATCGACTGGGTTTGGTCCGCGTTCATCGTGACAAAATGATAAGATTCGGTTTGGTCGCAATACAATATGAAACGGTACAAAATGAACGACGGCAGTTTTATGAATAATCGAAAATCAATAATAATCACAGGTTTTTTATTTTAATCAAATCTACAAAGCAACGGGATGTCCGTAGTGATATATAATAGACCAGTATAAATATTACTCTTGTAACGTGCACTAGTTTCGAATAGAAAAAAAAATATATTTTTAAAAAACGTGCAAAATATTCAATACCAGCTATTAACTCGAAGATATACCCACAGAAATATTATGTTTAATAATATCTAATATTAGCGATTAATATGGAGGATTGTTGGCTTCAGCGAGGCGTACAAGGACTGCCGACATAGGCCTATTATAATAATTAATAATATAAGGGGACGGTTAGCTATCTGACTTATTATAGTATATATTAATTATCTAAGATATAATGGACTGGAAACGATATGGTCGGCGGAGTTCGGGGGACAGCCTCCGAAAGGTTCTACCATAGATGAGAATACTAGGTACCTATACCTAATGTTTTCAGCTCGACAGGTGGTTTTATTCGGCTTTACATTTTGTATCTTAGTCCGTCGGCATACAGACGGCGTTGTAAACTCTAAGTGCCCATTGCACTTTACCTCTTGTGTAACAATCGTGGCCGTGATAAGCCACTAGTTTCCAGTCCATAATATCTTAGTCCGTGATATATGTAAATGTGTTTGTATCTTATCAAGTCATAATATTGATAACACGATTTCTCACGGATTTAGATAATAAAATAATAGATGTTTAAACTACCTACCTATGCCTTTTTAAGTGAAGTTGATTATTTAATTTTATTATTTGACATAACATTTTGTTTAATCATTCATCGTTTGAGATTAACATCCATTTGTTCATGTTATATTTATGAAAATATACATTAGGTAAACGTATTATAATCATATTGAATATTTATGGAGGTACCTACTATTTATAAATAATACTTTTTATATTTACGTACGTAATGATAAACATGGGTGAACCATTTAATCGATCAAAAATGGAACTCGTTACAGAGTTCATATAGTAAATACCTATTAAGCACAGACATAAACTAGTGATAAAGATAAAGAAATAAGTTATGAATTAATTGTAGGTGACATCACCAGTAAATGAAAACTTAAAGGGTTTTTCAATTTTTACATTAGAAAGCTACTTAGTGTTAGAGACTTACTTACTATATGAAGTTTCTACTAAAGAAGGTATGTAAAATAATGTTTTGGAGAAATCTATATTTAACTTAAGCATGATTTTTAATTAATTATTTGTTTATATAAACCAGTTCAGAGTTCTCCTAGTAATTGAACACATTTTTTCAGTGAATGAACAACCGTGTACCTGTAAATGAATACTTAGTTTATTTTCCATTAACCATTTCAATAATATTATTATTGTAAATAATATAATTATTTTGTTTTATTTTATTATATTGCCTTTGTATTATAATAATAATCATAGATAAAACTTTAATATAAATCAAATAATTTTAAACATAACTATATACAACTCATTTAAAGTTAATAAAATAGTGATTTAGTAAGATGGGTAAGTATAATTTTAAATATATATATATATATATTTTATTTTTATTAAAAATATTAATGTGTTACAACTTCAACATAAATTAAATACTTTTAAATAACCTATTAACAGTGCTTAAAACTTCAATATACCTAAATCTAATCCATCTAAAAAAAAAATTTTAATAATAAATAAAATAATAACTAGATAACCATAATAAGTAATATAATATACTCGTACATAGCCACATAGGAAATACTTATTTGCTACTTCATAAAAGTTTTTCATTTTTTTTTGTGTTCGAATAATTTCCTGTGGCTATCATTTAAAACGTCTAAAGTACTACCCTTCTACATAAGATAGAACTCCACTAAACCATTATTGTCTAATTGAACGCTTTGTTACAGCTGCTCTGGCTTTTGAAATAACATCAGTATGCATTTTTTTCTATATCTTCGTGTCTATTTAAAAATATGTTAAACCATTTATACCAGGCTAATTGTTCCTGGATGGATTTTTTATTTGTAAATCTCTTAACAAATTTTGTATAGAGTCTTTAACATTTTCTGGGTGAACATGGAAACCGGCTTTAGCCATGGCTAAAACCCAATTAGCAATTTTAATTCCCCTCAAACTGTGTCAATGTAGTTTGAGGACCCATTTTACAACATAAAGGCACTTTTTTGTTTACTTTATTACTAATAATTGTAGATTTTCGGATACCTGAAACTACCTAAATAATAATTTATGATAATATTTTCGTATAGGTAACCTGTGACATTTCTATATAGTTTAATCATGGCTTTTTTAGTATTTATATTATCATGGTAGAATACATTTTACTGCATCGTCGGCATTCATTTTTTGTACTCGATGATTATGAAACGAGTTGTGTCATATAATTTATGATAATACTTTCGTAGGTAACCAGCAACAATTCTATAAAATTATAAAGAGTATATTAAGTTTTTTTTTTAGTATTTATATATTATCATGGTAGAATGAATTATAGTTTAAAATTTAAATGAATCATTGTTAGCATTACCTAGCTTATAACTAAGCGCGGTATTATAATATTCTGCAGTCGCTTTTGACAGTAAAATCAATATGATTCGGTTATCGAACAAATATGAATAATTAGACGTATGCTAATTTTATACCTTTATCAAATCAAGTGTATTCGAGTAATATAACTACTGAGTTGGGTATTGAGTATCGACCGGTGGTTTTTACATTTTCAATTATTCAAAGCGGAGAACCAGTATTTAATGGGAAAATCTACCGTCATATTTGCAATTCAATTCAAATCGTTGCTCTAATTATTCTAACATTATGCAAGGACAAAACATTAGTGCCGTATAATTATTCCGCACTTTGTTCATAGGAAACAAATATGTTTGGAAAAAAACAGATTACATTGTTAAACATATAAATAGGATATTGAAAATAGAGTGCAAAAGAAATAATATAACGACTCGTCTACGGTCCTCGCGTTTTCTGATCGACGTTAAAATATTCATTAGCAAAATGTGTAAGACGGCGCAGTGTGTAGACAATTTAGGTACACATGACTGCACCGAAAAACGACGTAATTATAAATAATTTGCAAGTATAATGATGTTCATATTATCCAAACAACTTTGTCCAATCGTTGTTGTACGCTTGTCATATCTAGTTGAGAACGCATTTTTTTTTTTTTTGTTCACAGTTTTGACATTTTCAGTGTTCATTCGAGTTGGTAGTCCTGCGGCCATAATAAACTAAATTGCAGATTCTGTACGACAGAGTAATATGAAAAAAAATTCTAGTGATGTAATCATGGCTGGCAGGTCGTTCAATGCGGGTCCGCGACGTCCAATCCGTTTGATGGAAAATTCACGATGTAGCCAATAAATGACAGGGGACAACACGTTCGTTCTGTGCATTAGGTAATCCCGGACTGAAGTTGTGTAATCCGTCGTCGGATTGATTATTTTCTTAGTCTAATTGTGTGCGATTTTTAGCTTCATTCATATAGCTGGCGAAACTGCGAACGCCTGAACAGCGTATTTCAGAGATTATCAAAGTATTTATTTCACTGAAAAGGTTTCCTTAAAAAATGTACATTTACTCGATTAGACGTTTACCTTTAAAAGCCAGCAAAAAGTAAAATTTTTTTTGTGGGTCATCGAGTTATATTATGATGAATATTGGATACCAAAAAAAAAAAAACAAAAAAAACGAAACGTTGATTAAGTAGATTTTAGTTCAGTTATTTTAATTAAAGTCATTAATCTGCATAACAAACTATGTACAGTCATGGCTTGTGAAGTAATGAACTATAATGTCAAATAAATGGTGTGTGCTCAAATAATGCTAATACATACGAAATAACGAACTGAAAAACTACGGTCTCTCTCTACCAATTTATAAGTGAAAAAACTATGAGGATCTATTTTTAAACATAGGGCTTTACCTTTGAAAAATAAGTGGATTTTCACAAGTTTTTGATGGAGCGTTGTGAAAATTTATAATTTGCATGCAAAAGAAAAAGTTGTTTGAAAGAAACTATAAATATTTGTGAGCTTTTTTTTCTATCTATATGTTCACAGTTTTCGTTTAAGATATAAAATTATGTTCATTGACATAAAATACACTCTGTATATCGTTCGTTTTTTCAGAAAGAGAAATATTATCATCTTATTATTTCCTAAAATATTTATGCAAAAATAAATGTACTATGGCAATTAATTTTATTAGCAATTAGAGCATAAATGTATATTATGCCCAAACGTTTTATTTATTTAATAATAAGTATAGTGTTTAAAACTAAATATATATAATGTTTAAAACTAAAAGTATTTTTTGGCATTAATTTTAAAAAGTTTCCTCTCTTTTTATGAATTGAAAAAAAACGTCGACTTATGATTCTTGAAGGCGAACTATACATATACTGTTTTTTCCCCTTTAAATATTTCAACAGAAAATGTTCCACTAAAAACTTTCAACACACATAAATCTAATTCTGGCTTAGCGTTTATTATTTTTCAACACTGTTCGCCTCAACTTAAATTTTTCTTCATAATTATTAACGGTTAATTATTTTAATAATTCAATATCGAGGTTTGTGCGCGCGCAGCAATAAAAAACATTCTATATTCCATACGGTATTTGTGTTTGAAATATTCAATGGCTATTTTGAAATCCTACAAATTTTTACACAACGATAGAACGAGTGTGATGAATCGATGTGCAAGTTTATAACGAAGTAGAAAAATAAATTTGAATAAAAAAAAAAAAAAACATACACATAATAAACTATATTTGCCGTATAAAAAAAGTCAGTGTCTGACATATTATTATACACATGTAATATGTACTGTGTATGATATTATAATATAGTGTAGAGTATTACAACATATTTTATAGTTGAGATGTTTTTAAAACAAACTAGAAA